AAAAAGAATATCTAGGGGCTGGCCTGGTGGCGCAAGCAGTTAAGTGCCTGCGCTCCGCTTTGGCGGCCTGGGGTTCGGAGGTTCGGATCCCGGGTGCACACCGACACACCGCTTGTTAAGCCATGCTGTGGCGGCGTCCCATATAAAGTAGAGGAAGGTGGGCACGGATGTTAGCTCAGGGCCAATCTTCCTCAAGAAAAAAAAAGGGGGGGGAGGATTGCATCGGATGTTAGCTCAGGGCTAGTCCTCTTCACAAAAAAAAAAATATCTAGTATTCTAGCAGAACTAAGTACAAATGTTTGGTATTGTTAGTAATGTACAAGAAATAGATATATTTCTTATGTAAAATTATGACTGAGTTTAGGGAAAAGAAAGTTAAGACGAATGAGAATCTTTTTTTTAAGAAAAAACAATACTAACTGATTGATGAGAAAAGGGCAAAACTCATCCTCAAACATTTACATAACATACTGAAGAGATAAGAAACAACTGCTTTTCATTAGCTCATCTAATATTGTTCCACAAATATTACGACATGGCCATGTTTTAAAGTGGAAGCTGGACGACCTGTTGCCAATGCCAAACCAAAAGCAGGAAAACCACACAGAAAATTTGTTAAAATTATAAATTACTGGGCCATCCATCCTAGAGACTCTGACTTAGTAAGTCAGAGATGAGGCCCGGAACCTGGGACTTTTCAAAGCTCCGCCAGGTGACGCTGACATGCAGTCAGGTTTAGGAAATAACAGTATCATGAATTACCTATTTAATCCACATAATCTCTAAGGCCCCTTCCAAACGTGAGATTGGATTTTATAACTCCATGAAACGTTCCCTGCAGCTACACAAATGAGCAAAGATGATGGAAATACTGACAGTTGCTAACATGAAGTGCTTTACCCTGTGCTTAGCATTACACACCCCAAGACTGAAGAGGAAGGGCTTTAGAGGCATCATCTCATTCGATCTTCTTAACAATCCTGTGATACTGTTACTAACGCTATTCTACAAATGAGGAAATGGGATCAGAGAGGGTAAAGTCGTGCTGCTAGGAACGGCAGGGCCAGGACTCACACCAGGCAGTCCGGCTCCACCAAGCTGCATACCAAGGAGCACGCCAGTGGGACCGAGCCACTCAAGAGCACCCAGGGTTCAAGAAAACGCACTGAGAACATTACCGAGTTAGGACATTTTACCTTTAGATCTTCGATGCCCATGTGATAAATTCCAGAAAGATTACCGTTTATATTTCGTAAATGAAAGCATACAAATTTAGAAGAAAATTTAGGGAAAGTCTTTCTAAGATAAAAGGAATAAAGTATTACATCTTAGAAGAGCTACAGAAACGACTACATAAAATTAAGTTCTATGCATTAGAAATCACTTCAAAAGTTAGAAAGTGAAATCTGAAAATTATTAACATCTTCAACATATAAAGAGCTTATACAAAAGAAAACACAAAGTGGGCAAAAGACTTGAAATCAACAATTAATAGAAACACAATTCAAAAGGTTAAGAAACATGAGGAAAACTTTCAACCCCAGGGTAATCAAAAAGATTTTGATTTTCCTGTCTGTAAAATGGAACACCATCTTCCTTGGCAAGGTTATTGTAAAAATAAAATGTAGACAAGTGAAAACATTCATTGTGGAGATATGTTAAAAGAAAATAAAGAATAATTTTAATCTTGGTGTCAAAAAGACCTTTAAAAAGTATTACATTTAAGGTGCAGCTACTAGAGCAAGACTTTGGATTCACATTACAGTTCTACCTCTAATTATATGTATGTCATAGGCAATCTACTTAACCTCTCTGTTGGATCTCAAATCAAACATAATGCAGCTGGAGCCATGCTTCATCTCTCTGCTCTAAGTTTGTTCTGAGGGGTTTGATTAGTCTTAAACAAATGCCCTATGTTATTTTTAAGAACAATAAAAGCCCTGAGTCTTAGGAGTTACTACATTAGCCTACGTGGATTTAACATCTAACTGATCTTTAATTTGATGTACTGTGCGTCCACTGGTTTCCACTCCATCTCTCTGGGACCAAGCCAAGTCGTGTCCAGAACCCTCAGACAGCTCTGTCACTGGACCAGTCTAGGCCAAAGCTAAGACAACTGAAGTCCATTACCTTTTAACCTTGCCTCTCAATCCAATAATCCTCTATCCCTGAAAATACTACTCCACCCTCAACCCCAGTCTCCTATCCTCTACTATTCTCATTCGCTTATTGTATCTTATTTCCTTACTCATCCTTGGGATTCTCTTCTTTTCCAACCCTTCCTGCTCTCTTCTAGGAACTGCTTTCTGTTCTAAACTCCCCATCTCTTCAACCTTTGGCATTTTCTAGCTCCCTGCTGCCACTGCTAAACCATTACACTTTCACTTGCATATAAAACCTTTCCCTCAATCAAAAAAGCACTTAACATCTGGCCACACTACCCTTAACCCTCCTCCTTCTACAGTCATCTGCCAACCTGCCCTCATCCACTGATACCGATTCATGGTTTTTCTGTCCACCCTGACTCCTGCACTAACCTTGACACTTTCAGCGTCCAGGCAGCTTCCTTAAGGGCACGTGGACACTTTAAAAATCAAGAGCTCTCATCTCTCACTCACTCACCCATCCCCAGGTCACAAATCTAGAACCACTCACCTGAGGAGGTCCACTAAGATAAGGACTGGAAGGAAATTACGCTAGAGTTGATTAGGGGGCTTTAAAAAAGTAAAAATAAATTGGAAAAGTCATGGAGGAATCTAAAAAGAAGGATAATGGGGGAGGATCAGTAAAAAGGTTTTATGAAGACTGCTAAGGGCCTAACTAAGGTGAGAGAGGAATAACTAACTCTGACAGATCTACATGCTGGCTCAACGCCACAATCTAAAGTTGTCTCATTCTTCCCTGTTAAATTATTTTAGCATATATCCATGTTTTTCAAAATAATTACTTTTTTTGTAAAGCAAAAATGTGCAAACCTTTTTGTTTTTTAAAAACTTGAAACATCTTTTTTTGGATGTTCTTTTAGCACAGAACAATGACTTCATCTTCACAGGACTACCTCAACTGACTTGAATGCTCTGGAAATGAGATGCAAAGTAAACCAGAAGATACTCTTTAAGTATTTTGTGGAAATATTTAAAATAATTTATAGTCCATTTTCTATATAGTGTACTAAGTATGCCAGAATCTTGCAGTCCCTAAGAGCAGCCACTACAGTTTTAAAAACATCAACCAGGACCACATAAACATCAAAACAACACCGACTAAATGGCCTCAGGACAATCCCTGTAAACTCTATTATATTTCATTTCTAAAATCTTGGTTTTCTTATGGTTTGCTTTCTTCTCTGCTAAGTACCATAATGGGAAAGGTGGACTTCAGACTTGCTTTGGCACATTAAACAAATTCACTCATTCAACAAATATTTTGTAAGCACCTACTATGTGCCAGGAACTGGATTATGAGCTGGGAATACAATGGTGAGAAAAACAAATGGGCTCCCTCCATCATGGAACTGACAGTCTAGTGGGACAGACAGTTTCATTATCAATAAATGTATATGAAATGTATATAAACTGTTAAAGTCCTGATATAGCTACAACATTAATGCAAAAAAATTAAAACTAAATCACTGCTTAAAAGTAAGTTATGTTTTCTTCAAAATTCAGAAATAGCTATAGCTTTCATTACACAAAATGCTTTTTGGAGAAAAAGGAATGAAATGAATATGGGAAATTATTTACTCAAATCTATTTAATAGGTGTTATTTTTGAACAATCAAATTTCCTCACTTGAGGAAGACCAATACTTAAACATACACACTTATATATTTGTATTTGTATCTCTCCACAGCACCTGAAACATTGCTACGTACATAGAGGTTCCTTGAGAACAGGACCCTTTCTATCTCATACACGGCTGTATCCCCAGCACTTAGAACCGTGCCCGCCACATATTAGATGTGCTTGACATTTTTTGAATGAATGAATGAACAGCAGGAGTTGAAACAACTAAAATGACATGAGAAAAATAAATTTGGCCCAACACAATTTGAACTACGGACATTGCTAACATTCGGTGAGTCGGAGCACACAGCTACAGAAGCCAGCTAATCTAACTTTCAAGCCCAGCTTAAATGATCCCAAGCTCTCCAGGTGAGTCAACTCTAACTAACATAGAATTAGATCACCAATCTGTGTTTTAATTCTTCTAAAATAATAGAGAGCCTATGGGAAGTTAGTAATTTTAAACACGCCTTCAGTTCTTACCTAGATAACCGCAATAGCCTCCTGGCTGGTCTCCCTGCATCCTCTCATGCTGCCCACCCCCACCCTTTCCCATGGCCATGCCACACAGCAGGAGAGGGATCTGTTCCTAATGCACATCAGAACGTGCCACCCATCTGCTCAGATCCCATCTCCAATGGCTTCCTAATAAAATAAAAGTAAAACCCAAGTTCCATGCCCCTGCCTTTCTCTCAAAAGTTTATCTTCATCTTACTCCGCTCCAGCCACGTTAATTTTCTTGCTGTCCTTCAAGCACTCAGGGCAACTGCAATTTCTGTTCTATCTGCTTGGAACAACTTTGCCTCAGATCTTCAAATGGCTTGTTTCTCAGTTCAAATCTCTGCACTAATGTCACTCATCAACTCCCTCATTCTCTATCCCCTTTCCCTGCTTTATTTTTCTTCACAGCAATGACACATTATATTACATAACTGTTTGTCTTCCCCACTAGAATCTCAGCTCCCTGAAGGCAGAGGCTTCGTCTTATTTCTATATCCCTAGGTCCCACACAGTGCCTGGCACACTGTAGGAACTAAATACATAATAATCAATTCACACATTCAGTTAGTTTCCCATCATCAAAGATAACATATTTACAGAACAAGCATTATCACACTGGGCTACAGTCCTCTCATGCCATGATTAGGTAACATGAATTTAACTTTTAAAAAAACAAAAATCCATTACTGATATTAAAACAGATTCTTTCCAAGGGACATCAAAATGATTAGTAATATAAAGCAATGGTGGTTAAAACAATATGGTGCTAACATCTACTGAGAATATAGAACACAACACGGAAGGAAATTCATTTAAGAACAGCCCAACAGTGAAAGTTAGTGGAAATACTGAAATGGGCAACATACTTTCCAGAGATTTAAAACCAGCAAACAAAATCTCAGAAGGAGAGTTATACAAGGGATAACCTATTAAATCCTCTTTGCTTTGTATGCTCTTCTTTATATAATTATCAGGAAAAAAAATCAAAAGCCAAAAATATATTTCAAAATATACTTAACAAAAGCCAGCAGCATCAAATAATAAACAAGCTTTTCTACTAAACATTGTTTATGAAGTATAGAAAAATGAAACAAAACTTCTGAGAAAATGGGTTTGGAATATGCATTCTGGAACCAGTCTGATTCACCAAAGTATTTAAGAAGTCTACTGTGCATCAATTTACTCTGCCTAAACACACATAAAAAATTCAGAAAATACTGAACTATTAAAAAGTAATAAACACTGTAAAAATATCCCAGCTTTGACAAGCAATCATATAAAACCATAGATATTTAACAACACGGAACTTTCAAAGCACAGTAACTTGAACTCTGTTTAGCATGAGAGTCAATCTAAATTTTAAAAATCATTGTGTACTTAAAGATGATGTTATGGACTGCCTGCCTGTGTCCCTACAAAAGTCCTATGTTGAAACCCTCATCCCCAGTGCGACACTATCTGGAGATGAGGCTTTGGGAGGTGATTTAGGTCTTGAAGGCTGAGATGAGCATCCTTACAGGAGAAGACCTGAGAGAGCTTGTTTCTTTCTCTCTTCGCCATCTGAGAAGACAGCAAGAAGGCAGCTATCTACTAAGCAGAAGAGGGCCCTCATCAGACTCCAAATCTGCCAGCACCTTAACCATGGACCTCCCAGCCTCCAGAACTGTGAGGAACAAATGTTGACTGTTCAAGCCACCCAGTCCACGGTGTTTTTGTTATAGTAGACAAACGAAGAGCACATGCAGCATATTAAACAACAAAGTCAAGAAAAGTGTGCTATTAAATGAAAAGAAAACAAGTGTGTTCTGAGTTTCATGTTTCTGATGCTGAACGTTCCTAAAATACTAATGAAATCACTGAGAAAGGATGGCATGTTCACTATCATGCACGTGAATTTTCTACCAGGACAAAATTTTTAAAGTTTCATACCAATACAGACAAAAAGACTGAGAAGACTTGAACCACTCAGTCCACATTCTAATGGAGTTGTATTTGGCCTTCTTAAAAACAGAAAACACTATACAGATCTGTAATTTAAGAAGGTAAATATGTATAGCCTTTATCAGAGAAATACAAAAAAGATGAATTTTTTTGAGTAATTAATCAACTGTTCTATATTTGTATATGGAGAAAATGAACAATATCTTTAACATGTGTATCAGATTCAAGAATAACAGCCTAAAGCCATATTATTTCAGCATCTTCTTACATTTTAGGAAACTAGATATGACCTAGGCTTCTCTCAATTCATGTGATAATGAACACTGTCAACTGAGTTAAGGGCAGGATTACCATCGGTGCATTTGATAACCAACCTTAAAGACTTCTCTAATCATATATCTGTGGGCATCTTTCTATCAGATATGTAACAGATCAAACTGAAAATACCACTCAATTTTATTTGTACAATGAATGAAATGCCTACACCAAACAAAACCCAGAATTCTACATGTTATTTAAATCCCATTTGAATTTTCTGAGGTAGCATACCATATTAGAACACTGAGCTTAGATGTCAGGGAGAAGTGTGGGACCCTGACAAGTTACCTTAACTTCTCTGAGCATCGATTATCTCATGTAAAGTGAGGTAATAATGTCTAACTTTTGGGCTTGCTGTGAAAATTAAATGAAAAATATTTTAAGAGAAAAAATGGAAGTGGGGCTTAATCAGTAGCTATTAAAAGAGGGTGGGGGTGGAGTTAAAACTATCTACCCAAAGCCAGAAAGTATGATTTATTGTTCTGGCTCTTTCCTTTCCTGGAGTGTGACTCCTGACAAGTCTTTTAGCCTCTATTTTTTTCACGGCTAAAATGAAGGAAATAACATGCTCTCTACATCAGGTTATTGTAAGGATCATATGAGTTAACATACATGAAAGCATTATGAAAACAACAAATGAACAATAACGTGGGAAAAAACACTTCATTCTTGATAGAAAAGCCAAGCAGACAAAAAAGAGAAATATATAATAATTTCTCTTTTCCTGGCACATAGAATTTGATCTTCATATAACGTACTTCAAACATTAATCACACCTCATGTTAATTACTGTGTGACTATCTCCTCACTAAACTGGTACTTCTCTAAAAACAGGAACATCATCTTTGGTTTTCCAACAGCTAATATATCATCAGGCATCAAGTCAACACTTGCTGAATTGCAGTATGCTATATTGAACCTTCCTGTTACATACGTAATACATCAAGAAGTAGAAGAATTACCATTTTCTTTCCGTAATCTTGTTATGAACTTCTTAGGAGGAATTACTCCAACCTTTTTCTTCTGAGTGGCTATGCTATGGAAGAGATCTGCTAAGCATGTAAGAAGGTTCTCCTTCTTCCTAGGTTGACTCTTGTATGCTAGAACTTTTTCCCGAAATGGACGACAAAAATAAAGTGCTTGAAGAACTGAATTACAGTAGCAGGTATTCCCAAACTAGAATAGAAAAAAAAAAAAAAACTTTGTTAAATTTGGGGCAACACACTTTTAAAAGAATTTCCATGTGTATAGTTGAGAGAATAGAAAGAGAATATAGGGAATTTACGATCCTCATAAATTAAAAGGTATCTGAGAGCAGAAATTATTCTGACTGCAAAGTAGCCATTTTAACATTAATTGGAGGCTCTACACATCAGTTCCAGGTTAAATTTGAAGGAAAATATATGCAATAAATTTGGCCTTTACGAAAACTGATTTAAAGAACTATATAGTTTAAATAGCAAGATTAGGTTTAGGATTTTCTTTTCTTTTTCAATTCTCGTTGTTATATAGTGTTGGTTGTATACGAAGCATTTTACATATTAAACATTTAAAAACATAACTCTCAAAAATTCTTTAAAAAAGCACAAAAGTGAGGTTTTCTATCAGGTTCCTAAGTGACATCCAAAAAATAAACAAAAACAAGATCCTCTGAAATGTTAGATTAAAAATCATTAATGTGACAGCCTAACAACCACTGAAATGCCAGGTCGTACTATTCTTGATATATCAGCAAGACACAGTCTTTGGCTCCAGAGTTAAATCCTGAACTATGTATCTATCTCTTGCTGGCCATGCGATCTGAAGTATATAACTACAGCTCACTGAACTTCAATTTCCTCCTCTTTAATAGAGGAAAATAATCCTGCAGATTATTACAGAGAAGATGAGACATAGTTTTATAACTATTTATTGCCTTCCTTTTCCCTTCCCATTAATAGACACTGGCTCCCAAAGTCAGCTGATAAAACACCCAGAAGTCCATCAACGAGGATCTGGGGAGTACTTTGAAACTGTAAAAAAAAGAATGAGGACAATTCTCATTGTACTGCCATGGGGCGAGATAACATATATATATTAACTTAGACTGGGTAGAGACGAGTGTTTGAGAGTAGGCAATATCAAATGTATGTCCACAGACATGCACACATTTGCCTATATTTAAAAACTAGGAAGGATAAGTTAAAAGTGATTAAAAATGGTTATTTACAGAGAAAGAGGGGAAAAAATGGAGGGGAATAGAAAGTGAGATTCCTGTGCATGTACATTATAAAAAGATTACTTTGTACCAATTTTTTTAAACTAAATTAAATCATAAAAGAGAAAAAAAGAAATTCCTAAAATTGAAAACAAATAGAAATAAATAAAACCTAAACATGTATCAAGTTGGTGGTAAAACTATACAGAGAAAAGAATTACGTCAAGTGCCTTTAAAACACAGAACTTTTACTATACATGCCTACTGCAGTACAGCCTAAGAATAAAAAGAACAAGGAAATCTTACACAGCATCCAGTAGTCACATTGTTAGAATTAATCTGTTGATACTGTTATTTTGAAACTACTATAGATATATTATAGGACAAAGCAAGCAAGGAATTATGTTGATACCCTTAAGAACCAAAATTTTTAAAGTAAAGAAGAAAAGGGTGAAAGGGATAATTCGGTACATGTGTGTGGTGATGGGTTGTAATTAGTATTTTGGTGGTGAACATGATGTAATCTATGCAGAAATAGAAGTACAATGATGTACACCTGAAACTTTTACAATGTTATAAACCAATGTTACTGCAATAAACAAAAAATTAAAAAAAAAAAAAAAAGTAAAGAAAAGTTACAATAATAAAAATCAGAAGAGTAAAACCCCTGTAAACTTATATTGGAATTAGAAATATCAGTATAAACTCATGCCTTTTTGTAAATCTTAAAGTGAGTGATTGTGTGTGTCTGTGTGTGTGTGTGTGTCTGTGTGTGTGTGTGTTTTCAAGTTCTGTCCACTGAAAAGGCCAGCAGCAGTAAGTTTCCCCTGCACTCAGATTGTGGTCTCAAAAAACCTCTTTCCCACAAAAAGGAACTAGGACACCTTGCAGATATGGCTACAGAAGGTCTGCGACAGGAAACATACAAAGTACAAGATTAGCCTGGAATATCTTTTTGTGTGGATCCAAGAGCCAAATTTCTTTTTTTTTCTTTCTTTTTTTTTTTTTTTGAGGAAGATTAGCCCTGAGCCAACCTCTGTTGCCAATCCTCCTCTTTTTTGCTGAGGAAGACTGGCCCTGGGCTAATATCATGCCCATCTTCCTCTACTTTATATGGGACGCTGCCACAGCATGGCTTGATTAGCAGTGCGTAGGTCCGTGCCCAGGATCCAAACCCGCAAACCCCAGGCTGCCGAAGAGGAGTGCACGAACTTAACCACTACGCCACCGGGCTGGCCCCCAAGAGGCAACTTTCATCAAAAAGGATGACTGCAATGATAAAAGCACATCAACTACATAAAAATCTATGAATTCATAATGACATTAAAGGGCCGGCCCCGTGGCTTAGTGGTTAAGCGCAGGCACTCCGCTACTGGCAGCCCGGGTTAGGATCCTGGGCGCGCACCAACGTACCGCTTCTTCAGCCATGCTGAGGTCGTGTCCCACATACAGCAACTAGAAGGATGTGCAACTATGACATACAACTATCTACTGGGGCTTTGGGGAAAAAAAAGGAGGAGGATTGGCAATAGATGTCAGCTCAGAGCCGGTCTTCCTCAGCAAAAAGAGGAGGATTGGCATGGATGTTAGCTCAGGGCTGATCCTCCTCACACACAAAAAAAAAATAATAATAATAATGACATTAAAAACAAAGAAACCTACATTAGTCTCCAAGAGAAGTTGTAAACTAATATATAAAAGGAAAGCATCAATGTTTTATCTTGTCTTTCTTCTAAGAACCATATTTCAGGGGGCACTAAATAGTTGATGAAGGAAATTCTTGTTTATAGCAGAATTCCAGATAATAAATTCAGAAGAAATGCTTGTAAATAATGGATTAGGCAATAATTATCCATGGATACCAAAAGCATTAGGTTAAAGGTTGATGGGGAACTCTAAAATGGAGGGCTCAGGCCTGAACCCTCACATTAAAAATGAACAAAACTTTTGTCTTGTGCTGTGATACACCAAGAAATATACAGCAACTCCTATGAAGTATTCCTGTCTTAAAAAACAAAACAAAACCACTCAACTTTAATCAACTGTCTAGATCTAACTACCAATTTACAAGATATTCAGGGAACAGAAGAACAAGCTAAACAATACCACAAAAAACGAACACGACACGAGACCCAGTGAAGATACATGACTTCCACATTCACACAGTCAGAGCCAAGAACTGATTTCATCAAGACAGATGCTTTAAAGGCTTTCCAGAGAAATGCTAAAAGAAGTATATTATAATGATGCATTGATATTATTGGTCATAAATATAACTATGGATATACTTCAACAAAGCCTATCCAGGGGCTAAGTATACCTGCAGCAGAATAATATTACTAAGGTTAACTTACCAATTACTCAGCATTAATTAGTCTGAAAAATACCAGTATTTGTACCACAGTCTAATGACTCTAATGACAAACTATGGTTCTGTCAATTAAAGAGACAATCTCCATAATTTGGACATTTTTATTAAAGAATAAACAGGAGGAGACTCTACTAACTTCCACAGAGTAGGTAGACAGAAACAAAAGACAGCATCTCACAAGATATCAGAAAAAGTTGTGATAATGAGCTTGACCTACTTACAAAAAAGAAGCAAATGGGATAAGCTGAGGAATTAGAGGGAGTCTACATTTTACAGAATGCTGCAAGCCAACCTCTTGCTCATCTTGCGAATATAAAGCAATAGGCAACACCACAATCAATTCTTTGAGGTCTTCTGTTATGGTCTTCTTTTACTTACCTTCATCAATCCCATTAAAGAAAAATTAAAGGTTGAAACTACCACGACGTCTCCAGAATAAGCTAACTTTCAATCTTATTCGTAACTCTGAAACTTAATTTCCTTGACTTTTAATAGTAAGTTTCATTCTACTTCCTAAAATCTAAAAATATATCCTTCAAGTGTATAGCTTTCATGCAAAAGATTGTCTGGGATGATTTCCTCCACATTCTTATTTCTGAATGCTCAATTTCTAAAAAAGACATTGCTTTATGGTTGAAACCCACCCAATGTTTTTTCAGCTGGCTCTGAAGATCAAAGGTATGACCAGGTTTAAAATCAGGGGAAACAAATTTTAAAAGGAGCCACCCTCAAGGTGGGATCATTGATTTTTCAATCACTTATTGAACACAATGACTTATCCTTGCTTTCTCTAATGCCTTTTTCTCTAAGTCTTAAAAAATGCCCCTCCACAAATATTAATCAAATCCCCACCAATAAGATCATTTTGAGTACACATCCCTAATATATGTATATTTATTTACAAATTATATATGCACGATATATATGTACATTAAAAATACAACAAATATGATTAAGATGAAGCAAATATTTAAAATTTGTCTTACTATATTAACTTTTTTGTTTTCACCAAAAATTTTCAATCCTATTTACCAAATTTGTTTGAATTCATTTAAGTAATTATTTGCCTTGAGAGCAGCATAGCATGGTAACTACGTGCACAGGATCTGAAACCAAACCGTCTACGTTCAAGTCTGGTTCTGCTACCTGACCCTGGGAAATTACTAAACCATTCTGCTCATCAGTTTCCTCATCTGTAAATGGAGTTTATCAGTTTCCTCATCTGCAAATGGGGTTTATAACAGTGCCTACATCTTAAAATCTTGTAAAGAATTAAATGAATAATCTGCGTGAAGCCCATGGAACAATTCCTAGCACCTCATCATTACACAGTTAATTTTGAAACAATCTTTTTAAGCCATTTGTCCATTTTGAAGAATTAGATAACTGAAATTAAATCATATAATCTCTAAATCTACATTTAAATTATAATAGATATAAAAGCATAAATGAGTAAGACAGAGTGATGCTGTCAACTCCTTGGCACTATGGAACTTGAGTAACATAGGACCATTTCACACATGGATAGAGTATGGGTGCCAGTATCATCCATTTATTAAGAATTAGTAAAGCTTAATCTATCTTTCATTTTTAGATAAAAATAAACAT